TTCAGAGAGGTTACCCTCATGTATTCTCTCTACCCAGTGATTAGATTCTAGATGTTAACAGCTCACTCTGAGACTGGTTCAGAACCACAAAGGCCTGCTGAGCTTGAGGACTTCACCATGACAAGATTCCATGATCCATACAATTTCACACACGGTAACTGCATTCTGTAGTCAGAAATCTGTGTCCTGTGTATGTGAACTTCTCCTACTCCTGACCCTCCCTCAGAGCTTCTCACAACCATTCCATCTGTGCCATCAGAAAGTAGCTGGACTGGCCGAAACCGGTTTGGCTCAGTGGATAGAGCGTCGGCTTGGGGACTGAAAGGTCCCAGGTTCGATTCCGGTCAAGGGCATGTACATTGGTTGCGGGCACATCCCCAGTAGGGGGTGTGCAAAAGGCAGCTGATCGATGATTCTCTCTCATCAATGTTTCTGACTCTCTATCTCTCTCTCTCTTCCTCTCTGTATAAAATCAATAAAATATATTAAAAAAAAAAAAAAAAAGAAAGTAGCTGAACTGCCTGGCTAGTGTGGCTCCGTGGTTGAGAGTCAACCCATGCACCAAGAGGTTGCTAGTTTGATCCCTGGTTCAGGTACATGCCTGGGTTGTGGGCTCAGTTCCCTATAGGGGGTGTCTGCAGGAGGCAGCAGATAATGTAGATGTTTCTCTCTCTCTCTCCCAAACCAATAAAAATATACAAAAAAAAAAAAAAAAAAAAAAAAAAAAAAAAAAAAAAAGGGACCTGGACTTAACTCTCATTGGCTTATTTTTCCTAAGACCCCAGACCGAGCTAAGGGGGTCAAACTGCATTAGACTAACTTGACTTAGACAAGGTTAGGGAATTAGAATATTCTTCTAGTTGGGCTGAGTAGTAGAGTTATCTTTTGAATCCTGAGCACTTTCACCATCTAAAGTGTAGGCAAATATTAGCAGAAACCGGTTTGGCTCAATGGATAGAGCGTCGGCTTGGGGACTGAAAGGTCCCGGGTTTGATTCTGGTCAAGGGCATGTACCTTGGTTGCGGGCATATCCCCAGTAGGGTGTGTGCAAGAGACAGCTGTTTCTCTCTATCCCTCTCTCTTCCTCTCTGTACAAAATCAATAAAATATATTTAAAAAAATAAAGTGTAGGCAAATATTATGACATCTTTCTTTTCTAGAAAGTAAAACTATTTCAGAATAATATTGCATTTTATGCACTGGCTGAACTCTGCTTCATCTAATTTATTCCAGTCTCCATCATTAGATCAATTCAAACTGAACTCTTAAAAAATATTCACACGCAAAGGTATTCATCAGCATTCATTTGTGACAGCAATAGTATACTTAACCCTGGCCATATGCTAGAAAATGTCTCAGATTTTGTAATGGTTGCACCATTGGCAATATACAACTATAGAAAATTGTAGGGGAAGAAAATTTTATATTTTTCCCTACTAGGCTCTTTGGCTATCCCAACAATTAAAATAATGTAAGATATTAACAACAATAAAAAAAACAACAACCACAAACACTTGAATTTATATGTATGGGAGCTCGTAGAAATATGAGACTCAAAGCCAGGTTTTTATTGATACCTGTTATCGGTAGACAAAGAAACAAAACATCTGTGAAGAATTGACAAGACAAAATGTTTGTGCTTGGGATAGTAAATTAGACAAAAAGCCAACAAGGTTTGTTTATGCAGGTCTTTTGGTCCAGAATTCCCTACCTCTGTGATAAGGATGTCTTTCTACCTCCTGGTACAGGGAGCGGACCTTTCGCATGCGAGATTTGTTTCAGGAGAACAAAGGAGGGTCAGAATGTCCTTCTTGCACTGCCCACTTCTTAAGTAACCTTAATTCAAAACAGAAATATGCCAAATGGCATATTGTTACTGGACTGTGTGCAGCAAAGCCCAATAAGGCATAAACAGGAGTTTGCAGCAAAGAAAGTGAGGGTTTATTTTTAGGAAGTGGCCCAAGTTGGAGCCAGGTGAGCTAATGCTCAAAGACCTGGCCTCCAAAGGATGGGTGATAAGTCCTCATTAACCACGGTGACTGAAGGAGTTAGGGTAATGGTCTTTACAGATTGGTCAAGGCTGGGGAAGGGGGTAGTTGATTCAGTGCATTTGGTCCTGTTGTCAGCCATGGCATCACCATGATTTCACTGCTTTTCTGGGTCTGGAGCTGAAACACAACTGAGACCTATATGTTATCTCTAGTTTGACTGAAACTCTGTCTCTGAGGAAAACAGAACAGAGGCTTCCTTTCTAAGAAGGCTTAATGATTTAGGACGTGGTCCTGCAAGGGAGGAGGCAGGTGAGACAGGGGAAGGTGTTGGGATGAGGCCAATTTGGATCAGAAGGAGAGAAAGGAGAAAAGGTCATGTTAAAAAAATGACATTCCACTAGCTCATAGCCTTCCCTGAACCCCATCAGTCACCAAGTCTTGTTTCTCAGACATATCTGCTACAGCAGTGGTTCTCAATTGGGTAGATTTCGCCCACAGGGCAATGTCTGCAGACACTTTTTGTTGTCACAGCTTGGGGAGGGGGCTACTGGCATCTGGTGAGCTGCTGCTAAACATCCTCCAGTGCACTGAAGGGGACTCGGATGTCACCCCAAAATATGCCATAAGCATTAATTGGCATAAGATTATTGTAAGCTAAAGAACTGAGAACCAGCAGAAGCAGGGAAAGCTTTTTACCTCCTATAACAGCCAAAAAACAAAGTGTGAAGTTCCCCTTTTGTAAAGTATACTTACATTTATACAGGAAATTTCCATTTATCAAGACCACTCTGCACCAGGAAGAGAGCTACTTCTGGAGACAACTCTCATCACCTGAGAAACTCTCACCTGCACTATAAGACAACCCTTAGAAACCACGTATTTCCTCCTCTAGCCTTCCTATGACTTGCTTCTCCCTGTGTAGGAGCTCAAACCTCCTTTTTCTTTGTTTAGCCTATGATGGTATATAAACCTGAATCCTCTAGCCACTTCCTAGAGCCTCATTTCTTTTGAAATTCCTGTGCAGATGTATGTAATTAAACTTTCTTTTTCTGTTAATTTGTCTTTTTATGAGTTTGAGTTGTAAGGTCCAGCCATGGAACCTAGGAGGGTATAGGGTAAAGAAATTTTCTTCTCAACAGCACAGGACAGTCTCCCATAACAAAGAATTATCTGGCCCATTAACCAATGAATTTATATGCATGCTAGAGGCCTGGTGCACAGGGGGGCGGGGGGTGTGCTTTCTCACAGTCTGGGACCCCTTGCTCCTTACTGCCTGCCTGCTTGCTGCTCCTTGCCCCACTCACAGCTCCTTAGTGCTACCACTGAGGCAGAAGAGGCTCCTGTCACTCAGGCTGTGCTCCCCAGCTGTAAGCCCAGCTTCTGGCCTTACAGTGCTCCCCCTGTGGGAGTGCACAGAACACCAGGGGGCAGTTCCTGCATTGAGCATCTGCCCCCTGGTTGTCAGTGCACATCATAGTAACCAGTCGTTCCACTGTTTGGTCTATCTGCATATTAGCCTTTTATTATGTAAGATATGCATAACCCATGAACACAGACAATAGTGCAGTGAAGGCCTGGTAGGTGGGGAGGAGGGATGGGGACTGGAAGGGAGTGGGTCAATGGGGGGAAAAATAGGACTTCTGTAATCCTTTCAATAATAAAGATAAAATTTTTAAAAAGAAAGCAACACTAAAATAAATACTAAATAAATAAATAAATAAACAAACAAATAAATAAATGAATGAATGAATTATCTGGTCCAAAATGTAACTAGAGCCCAGGTTGAGAAACCTTGCTCTCTACCAACAGAGGACAGAGAGCAATCTAAAGCATAAAAAGTCAGCATGGGGTTCGGGAGTTTAGTAGCATAAGGGAAGCCAAACAAATTCTCCTTCATGGCTGGGTGTCTTGGACATCTTACTAAGAACTTCGGTGTTTCAAACTGTGCTTAATAAAATGACTCCACGAGATTAAACTGATGAGTTTTATTCCTGTCAGTCCACAAGTTATGGATTTGAGTGCTAGACCACTGCTTTCTGGCAGGACACGTGTTTTGGTTAAACTACTAGGAAGAAGAAGTCATGAAAGTTTCACCAAGCCACAGTGCCAGTGACCCATGTGTTGTTAGGAAATTAGGGGACAGAAATCAGGGTTTTAAAATAAAAGGTACTGGTGGTCTGTGGGCGAGGATTAAGGCTAAGAGGCTCCATAAGCAGCAAGTACAGCTGCAGATCCAGAGACCATCCCCTTGAAGGGGGAGTAGGAGAGGAGGAGCTGCCTGGCTCTGGTCCAGGCTTCTGGTGGGAATAGGCAAGTCTCCAACCTTGGCTGTAAACTCGGGAGCTGCTGTGCTCGCTCTATCCTTCTCATGCAATGACCTCTTCACCACCTGCTTGGGCACACAAGGATTTTGACAACTCTGTACCAGGATGCCAGTGAGGTCTATATACTGATTTGCAATAGTATTGGTAAAGGAAATAAAGAACAAAGGGAATACAGGCAGGTTTGCATAAGTAGGAAAACCTTTAATCTGATAATCATTTATTCAACAAACATTTATTTATTAAGCCTCTCCTCTAAATAAGTATGCAGAATTCGATATTTTCTTTTTAAAAAATTGTTTTAAATGAACCTGAGAAGTTCTTTGAAAGTTTATTTCAAAAGATATATGGCAGTTAACACAATTCCAGCAGCGGAGTCCCTCTGCATTCCACTCTGGACAGACGGGTCTCCGCTCGCTCGCAGGCTTCCCGGGGGTCTGACTCAGCACTCACTTGAATAGTCTTCTCTGTGGCAATAGAGACTGAACTTGTACACTGATCTCAACCTGCTACGGTGACTTCCTTCACCAGATTGGTCTTTCACAGCTTTGCAGTTTAGCGAATATTTTCAGGTAACACTCAGACTCCGCGGCAGAGCTCTGGCTCAGGTCTGTCATCACTGCTCACCAGGCGGACTGCCGGCCTCCATGTGCTCCATGCTGTGCAGAGGAAGCTTCGGCTCCCATGGTTACATCTTCAGAAAGGCCACCTGGAAAAGGAAGAAAGCCCCCCGGTGCTTTACTTGTCTAACATGATGACACGGCTCATGCATATCAAATCAGAACAGGTGAGTATGGTCAATAAGGATGCATGTGATCTAAAAAGATTCTTTGGCCAGAGATTACCATTTTATAGAAGGAGCCAATTAGTCCTTCTAAAATGAATCATAGAGTAATTTAAATGATTCACACACACTTTAAAAAAAATAAATAAAAGTTTTAATTGACACTAAAGTTGTGTTGCTGTGAAGTAATCCAATTCTCTTTCCCATTGGTTCAAATAGCTGCTCAGACCTCCCATAAGCAGAATTCTGCGTCCTGAAGATCCTTGGGCAAGTCCAACTCCTTGTCACTCTTGGCGATTATGCCAGCTTCTCCTCAGGTCATGCCAATGCTTTTAATCACACTCAATCATATTTATGGTGCCTGTCAGCAGCAATCAATCCTAAAACCCAATACTTTTAAATGTTTTAATTTATACAGGCCTAGGCACAAAACATGTTCAGACTATTTAATAAGGCCCAGATCAAGTGCATCTAATTTCACAATCATCCTATATAATAAGAGAGGAATATGCTAATTATCTGTTACACTGTGAGGCTTCATGACTGGACCACCTAACCACCAGATCATGGATCTGCAGGAGGGTGGGGCAGCGAACTACAAGCAGACGGTGGAGAACTGCGGAGATGGAGAGCTGCAGGAGTGGGCAGGGCAGCAAGCTATGAAGGGGGAGCTACAGGAGGGCTGCAGAGAGCTACTGGTGCACAGATATGTTTTAAATAACAGAGAAACCATCATAAAGTCAATCAGAAATGTTTTAGAAAGTTTTGGGTCAGGACTGTGCCAATATCAGGCAGAGTTGGGATGTAGTTCAGAGATAAAGACCAGGAAGTATGGGAGGGTTGAGAAGGTCAACCTAAGCCTTTCTGAGGGGAAAGAATAAGCAACAGAAGTAACAGCTTTCCACTCTTAGTGGTTCTTACTAGTAAGTCCCCGAACACAGTCAAAGGAGGCATGCATTTAATGACCCTTGTTAAGGTGGAAGGGAAAAGAATCATGCAGGGCAGAAAGCATCTGCTTTATGTTAAGCAATTCAGAAGGATGTTCCTCTTCAGGCAGTGCTGGTAAGGAAGGAACCTGCTGAGTTTCCATATCAACTTCCTGCTGAGTCTCTATATCAAGTTCTGCAATGAGAACACCAAAGTTGAAGGAGCTGGCGAAGAAGAAAGGTTAAGATTCCTAAACAAAATGTGAACACGAACAGCTGTTACAAACCTCAATGGCTTACTGTGAAAATTAAATGAGGTAATAGTTATGAAAATGCATGTGTTTCTCTCTGGCCTCTCAGGTGATAACTGGTATTAGGAGTCCATAAACATCTTAGATGAGAAGGGGCTGTTCAAGAGAGACCTCCTAGGAACCTCAGGGAATGATCACAGAATTATAGGAGAAGGGAATTTAGGGGCTGTTTGTTGGAGACCGGGTGTAAGCTGACATGGTCCTTGCACCCAGAGGGACTAGCAAAACTGGTCCCTACCCACACAGTTTCCCCAGACTTGTTTGGATGGTGGTTATCAGTAGAATGAGAGCAACCTTTCATGGCTTACCAAGAAGTCTATAACTACTGAGATTTGCTGTACTGAGAATCTGCCTGATTTGCTGTACTGAGAATTTGTCCTTCTGCTCTATCTCTTCCTTAGAGATTAAGAAGAACAAAGAATAGATTCCTCTTGACAGACTTCCTATTCAGTGTTTTGTATATAAAAAGCATTATGCAGTTAATAAAGTTGCTGCAGTCTCTCAGTGACCTCCCCATCACACTTTCCTGTCTTTCTTTTCTCAATTCCACCTCCCTACCTCAGCCCAGTTAACCATCTGACTTCTGGCTTGCTGTCTATTATGTGCCTACAAGAAGTTTACAAAGACCTTCCAAAAGAAGACAATGCCAGAAAGATGAGGAATGAAACTAGTTATTTCATTAAAAAAAAAAAAAAAAAAAATATATATATATATATATATATATATATATATATATATTATTGATTTTTTACAGAGAGGAAGGGAGAGAGACAGAGAGCCAGAAACATCGATGAGAGAGAAACATTGATCAGCTGCCTCCTGCACACCCCCCATTGGGGATGTGCCCGCAACCCAGGCACATGCCCCCGACCAGAATCGAACCTGGGACCCCTCAATCCGCAGGCCAATGTTCTATCCACTGAGCCAAACCGGTTTCAATTAATTATTTCATTTTTAATTCTGAAAATTGCTGAAGTATTCTAACCAGGAACTACTCAGAATAACAATGACACTGACATATATATATATATAAAAGGCTAAGTGACCGACCATCTCTCTGTCCATCCAATCAACCGACCTACCAGCAAGTACATATGACGTGCACTGGCAATTTATTTTTTAATATATCTTATTGATTTTTTTTTTTTTTACAGAGAGGAAGGAAGAGGGATAGAGAGTTAGAAACATCGATGAGAGAGAAACATCTATCAGCTGTCTCCTGCACACCCCGCACTGGAGAAGTGCCCGCAACCAAGGTACATGCCCTTGACCAGAATCGAACCGGGGACCTTTCAGTCCACAGGCCGAAGCTCTATCAACTGAGCCAAACAGGTATCGGCTGCACTGGCAATTTAAAAATAATGTTGACCCATGCATGAGTGACACTCATAAAGCTCTCGTTGGCACCAATCGCACATGTGTTTCAATGTGTCATTATCGATTGTGAATTTGGTTGACACTTCTATTATAAAGAAAGGGCAAATAGCAGTATTAAATATTTCTTCTAATTAATTTCCTTTCAATGTGCATGAATCTGTGCAGGGGGCACTACTGTGTTTCCCCGAAAATAAGACATCCTCCGAAAATAAGACCTACTTACAGGTTTCCTTTTGAGTGAAATATAAGGCATCCCCCTGAAAATAAGGTCCCCCCCTAGGCTAAACATGAGAGATTTGGTCCATTAATTCTGAAAGAAATGGAGTCACAAGAAATTCACCAGGAAATTCAGGAATTAGATTGTTATGATGATGTTCCAGAAGATGATGACATGATTGTCATTGAATAAATGAGTAAATTCTTGATACTGTAGGATTCACAGTTTGTCTGGTTTGTGTCGACAACTACCGTACTACCGTACCGTATACAGGTAATAAATTTCCTTTATTTTCATTTAACAATAAATGTGTACCGTATTCTTCTTCATGGAAAAATAAGACATCCCCTGAAAATAAGACCTAGCACATCTTTGGGAGCAAAAATTAATATAAGATACTGTCTTATTTTCGGAGAAATAGGGTAGTATCATCATCAAAGTAGTTAAGGACTTTAGCTCTGAAATCACACAGGCCAGTGCTTCTCAATGTTAGGTGATTTTGTCTGCCAAGTGACACGTGTCAAGGTCTGAACATATTTTTGATTGTCACAACTTATGGGATGTCAAGTACATTCTGCATTTTTTGCAGGACACAATAACAAGAATTTGCAAACATCCCTGAGAACAGACAATGTACAATGCATTTTAGTGTCTTTTTATTTAAAACATCGTGGGTTATCATTACAAATGATGATTTTGTGTTCCTAGCTTTTAACCATGACAGGAAAAGTTGCTTAAGAGAGGATAATTTTACTTGTTCCATGACACTGAGAAAAAGCTCTATATTTCACTTTTTTTTTTTTTTTTTTTATTCCCTAAAGCAAAGTTTTAAAGCTTTTCAGAGGATATCAGTACAGTTCAGCTTCAGGCCCCATTGTTCCATTCCTAAAATATACAGTTACAAAAGTATAAGTCATTGTTAAAAACGAGGGAGGACAGGACTCTTTCATGTTGGCTGTGAGGTCTGACCCCGCCGTGTTCCCTGAATTTGGACCCTTGGGAATGGAAAGGATGAGAGAGTGGAGACATCTAAATAAAGGTCTCTGCTTTGAGTCACCATCTACAAACCATCTTCTTAAACCACAATAGACGGGACCAGGCTGATGGAACAGCTGACCAAATGTTAAGTTTAGAATGCTTCAATACGTGTATGTTAAACACTTTTTGATGCTCTCTTATCTTCGTTAACAAATGTATATGATGAAATTCTACTCCTCAGCACAGATTTAGAATTTCAATCAATAGAAAGGTACGCTGTCAAGGCAGGCTGCAGGAGATAAAATTAGCCTTTTATAAAAAGCTACATAACCATTTTAGGGTGTGCTAAATAAGACAGATATAATTGTGAAATACTGGAAAATGTGAGCTTTGTAATAATTACAGACTCTAGAAAAGACTCTTTAGAATACATAGCATAACCACAGACAACTGTTCCTCTTAACGGGTACTATAGACTTAAAAAAAAGTAGGTATTTAAAACGATGCTTTAAATACATATTGTTGCCTAAGCACGGCTCATGTTCAGTTATTTCTGCCATAGGAAAAGAGTGTGTGCACTTTATAATATAAACTAAAGTTTCTAGGATCAAACTTCATTTACAAAATAAAGTTAATATGAAAATACAAATTAGTTTCAACCTTTACCTTGTATCTAAGCCATGGATGCACTGTCATTATTCACATGAAAATAAATCATGTAGATAAAAATATAAAAATAAAATAATTTTGTCAAGCACTTATAAATTTGGCATCTTAAGTAAATTGGGATTAAGCTATTTTGACTCACTAACTCAGCATTCACTCACTACTCAGGCCCTTGCTGACGACACTCGCACTAAAGTTTCTGAGTTGGATAAACAATGTAAGATATTGCTTTCTCGGGCAGGCAGGCTGGCTTCACTCACTCAGTTCACCCAACATCAATACCTTCTACATGCTGGTGGCTATCCCATCACAGAGCACACTGAGAAAGAAGGCTTTCCTTCAAGGTGCTAACATACAAGTGAGGAGGCAGTCCAGTAAAGAGATGATTCTAATTAGATGCCACAAGTTTAAATGTCTTTTGCCTACTGGCAGGAAAAAGACTGACCTTGA